ATCAGCTCAAATGGAGCTTTAGCGGAGCCTTTGAGGTACATTTTCCGCTTTGGTTATCTTAGTTTAAAAAAGCGCATCTTCCCCTCATGCCTCGGTTTTTTGGACTTTTTACGCCTCGAGGTGCCTTGCGCTTTTTTAAACTAAGTTGGTTATCTCGAGATCTCGCAGCGAAAGATAAAACTTTTCAACCGAGTAAGGATTTTTTTCTATATCGCTTGCTACTTTTTTCGGGATATATAAGATTTCTTCACCTCGGTTTAAAGAAACGTAAACTTTTTACCGTTATCGTTTTCCAAAGATAAAAGGTAATTACCCTTTCGGTTTATCGCCATCCAGCGTATTTCACCCAGTGATGATTCTGTTTTGAGATCTCTTATCAGGTCTAAGTCTCGAATGGAAAACAAAAACCTTTATACGCCGATGTATATGATTCCAACGCCTTACAATTTTGGTTTTATTCACGCTGCTTTGAGGCTAACGTTGTGAGCTCTTGTGTTTTTGCTATCTCAGGCAAGGCAGTCACTTATCGTCCGAGGCCTCTTCCCCATGCTTGCTGACCCTCGTCACCCGGTAAGCCGTCTCGTCTCTTCTCTTCTCGCCTCATCTCGACTTATCTCTTGCAGTATAAACATCGAAAATGAGGCCAAATCCGGTTTCAAGTAATATCATAACCCAAAAACTCTTAACTGATCATAGTGACATGACACAAATTGCACCGATATTTTCACGGGCTAGTAGGGGGTGGGCACAGGTTTTCCGGTGTACCCGACCTCAAACCCTGTCCCTTCAGGTATATCGGTCGTACGACCGATCTCGTACTGGACGGGTATGGAGAGGGCTCCGGTATCCAATGAGTGAGACGATGAGAGTTGAGGAGATTGATCCGAGGAGCATGTGGCGAGGGTGAACGGGAATTGCCCTCTCGAAACCCTAATGGTCGTATAATGTCTCGTCGCTGACTCGTTATCACGGCCTACCTCTGCCGTTTCTTCGTCTCTCTCCCTTGGTTCAGAATATAAGCCGACAATGTTACTGTTGGACGAAATCTGAACTTGCCCTTTCTGAAAAACCCGTGCTCGATCTCACCTCGGTCAAATATCAGAGCTAGTTGTTGGGCATATGATTGATTGTCTGAATCAGACACGCTTGCACATGTCCTAAAACTCTTTCCTTTCCGTCGTTCTTGATCTTAATCTCGGAAACATATATGTAAAAACCCGAAAATGTTTTTATTTATGGGTTCAGGCGGAATCAACGAGCGCGACGAACGAGTCGGTGTTGAAGGTGGCGCTGGACCACGGGAAGAAAGCGGGAGTGATAAAGTCCCACGACAGAGTTGTCGTCTGCCAGAAAGTAGGCGACGCCTCTGTCGTCAAGATCATCGAGCTCGAAGACTAAACCCCTTGAAAAGTTTCCGCTTATTATTGATTTTTTGTTTTCATTACACCGGCGAGAGCTGTCGGATTCATGCCGGAGCATATATCACCGGGACTTTGGGGTGTTTTTTTTTTTTTGTATCTACGAAGATGGACGTCCCCGTTTAGCGGTTGCTTTTGCGTTTTGTGGTTTGGACGCCGTTTTCTTTCTGTGAGAAATTATGCTCAATTCTCGTATATTTACTATAATGAGTTCTCATGATGAAAGAATGTATCTTTTTATTGTGATGATTGTTTTTATCATACTATTTTTGTCATATGATATCCACGGGATAAATGCGCTTGTGGCCTAATGGATAAGGCGTCTGACTTCTAATCAGACGATTGTGGGTTCGAGTCCCACCAGGCGTGCGTTGGCTGTTTTATTTAAAAAAACACCCCATAAATTTTAATCTTTATAAAACAAATTCAAAAATATAATTTATTTGTTTTCAGTTCAACTGAAATTATAGTTATGATATTAATTTATACTAGGGTTGAGATGAATAAATTAGTAAATATATTTATGTTTTTAATGTATCTTATTATAGTATTTTTAAAATTAAAAGTTATACGGGTGGTTTTCCTTATATTTTTTATTATTTTATCAAAAATAATAAGTCAAAGGTAAGACGGAGACATAAAGCGGAGATGAATAAATTCAGGGGGGTGTTTTGGTCAACAAAAAAGAACTTCATGACCTTGTTCCCTATTAATTAAGCCATTTAATCTTCTGTTAAATCTGAACAGGAGAAAGAAAAAAGGACAAATATGATTTTCCTTGTCGTAATCAGAAGTAACACAAAATAAATCGGTTAGGTGATGGGGAGACGTGGTCAAATTCAAACCCTAAAATAATAAATCAAATGATTTACTTTTTTTTTTTTTTGAATTTTCAATTTTTAATAAACATACTGTGACTAAATAAGCACATTTGAATTAGTGTCGTCTTGTCTCATGCAGCAGTCTTTGCTCTTTGCATATGCTTTTAACCAACGACGTTCGATTAGATATGTCGGTCCATTTTATTTTTATTTTCCATGCACGTGATAAAAATTGTTTCATTTGTCATCATTTATTTTTAGACTTTTCAACAATCAACAATATATATATAATCTATGACACAATCACAGAAATATAAAACCGACAAAATAGGTTGTAATTTCTAAATCTTTTTTATTTTTGTTAAGGGTAATTTCTAAATCTTTCTTGTGGTCTATGAATAAAACACGTTCGGGTTTTATATTGGATATTTAGACCGGAATTCTATTACAATGATTAAAAAAAATTCTATTCTGATATTTTTGTTTTTTTCTATGTTTGATAACTGGTTAGATCAACATGTTGGATCTTTATTAGAATGGAATTTCTGTTTTAGATTTTGTTTATATTGCGATATGAATAATCCTATATTAATGATAATGTTAATAGAGAAAATGTTTTTCTATTGATAATTAAAAGATTACACCCTAATAATATATAGCAAAATATAATAGAATATTCTAGGTATAATATCTATAGTAAATCATAACTATATTAATGATAATATTATAGGAATAATATCTTCCTACAAATCCAAACTAAATTCGCAAGCTTAGACTAATTATAGCTGACTTTTTAGTTAAAAAATATAAATAAAAAATAACTCATATCAACTTTAATATATTTTAGATAAAAATAATATAGTATATAAAAAATTTAGTATTCTAAATGAATGAAACTCATGGGAAATTGTATTGGTAATTTGGTATATTGCACTTTTCTATCTATGAATTGGTTTAAGGTTGCATGTCCTGAAACATATTATCGATCCCACAAAAACGATATATATCCTATTTCTATAAATCTATGTTATGTGATTTGACTAGACATTATTTATAATATCTTACGAATCTAAATAATTTGAAAGCAACATTTTCTATTTGAAAATAAAAAATAAAAAATAAAAAATACAGCTTGCGACGGAAAGCTGTCTTTGTTCTTTTTTTTTATTTTTTTTTTATTTGGCCATATGGAAGAAGAAAAATTAACAAAAGAATGGTTGTTTTGGTCCATAAAATCACAAAAACAAATAGAAAAATATATACATACATGATTGCACGAAAAGAAAACAACGAATCATATGATTTCATCAAAGTTGAATAACGTGGAATATTCATTCATTTACAAAAAGTATAATCCCTTTAGTAGTCTTTATGGACGAAAGTATTTTAATTTTAAGGGAAACACATAAAGAGAAAGAGGAAGAACATAATATTTAAATATTAAAGATGAAAATTACATGAATATCATAAACACGGATTTCTAACAAACAAACTAGAAAACAAATACATACAACCGCATTAAATGATCATACTCTAATAAATAATTTAAAATATCGTTTTCTTCCAATATTTTAATTATCGTGATGGAAAATACAAAACATATATTTCCGATATCTTAATACCGATATTTGGAGGCGGCAGTACGTGGACTAGACGTTGTATTGATTAAGTTTAATAACCACAAAATTAATACTAATCCCAGTGATTAACAAATCTATCAGTTTTAGCCAAGATTGGACGGTGGCAAAGAAGAAAACAAAACTCCTTCCCAACACGGTATTCGCATGGATTTTTCCGATCTTATGTAAGATGTAGTCGGAGAAAAAAATCAATCAACTTTCAGATTAAAAAATATATATATATCAGTTTTCTAATCACACAAAGGAGATCATAAATATCTCTTTCAATAGTTCAATCCCTTTAATATAAAACTGAGAACTCTATGTATGTTTTGAATAAAAAGACGTCATATTCGGCGAATCTACGAACTGGTTCGCGAGATAGAAAAAAATATTGTTTTTCAACAAATTTGATTTTTAAATATTTTATTATTTTTTAAATATGTTTTTATTCTTTTTAATTTTTTCTAAATAATTTTTTTTATTAATTAATGTTTTTTAATGTTTATTAATAATTTTTTTATTGTATTTATTTTTTAAATTTTTTATTTGATTCGCGAATCGATTTATAAGTTATGACGATCTAAAACGAGTCAAGATTTTTTTTTATCTCATAAAAAATGAACCGTAGAGATTTGGATCCAAAACAAAATAGTTCGGACCGACTGATCTAAACTTAACCCGATTGAGTCGGTCTGCTTAACATACTCACTGTTTTTCTTAATGGAAAGATGTGCTCACAAAATATCACATTCCAGAAGAAGAAGCTCATGCACGAATCTTACTTTGCATAAAAGAAAAACGAACTCGAAAGATGAATCGAATGTATTTGAAATTTTAGACTTCTTCTGTCGTTTTGTAATCTGTGAGAGAGAACAAAAATTATGAATATTAAATAAATAAACATAACATATACATATATATTATAATGGACTTTATTCGATCCAATAGAAAATAATACATTGAATATCTTTTCGGCAGATAATAATGACATCCCCTTTCCAAAATGCCTTCCAACAAATCAACGGACATTTCAGGATTGGTCGGCGACGCCACGTGGCAGCCTGCGAGCCGTCGATCTTCGTTTCCCACGCAATCCGTTTCCTCTCTCTCTCCCTTTTCTCCGATCCCCCAATATTTCCCCCTCACTTTCTCGCCCGTGCGAACATTGTCCTCGAAAATTATCAGAGAGAGAAGAGAGAGAGAGAGGGGGAAAATTTCTTTGCTGTTGCTATTGTTTCCCTCGCAACCAAACGCACTCTTCCTCCGCCGCCATGGTTATTGGGCTCCATGCTTCACCCGTTTCACGCGTGTAAGGCACGCGCGGTGTTGCGTACGGAGCTTGTTTCACGCTGGTCAACTGGAGGAGGAGAGGTTTGGTGGAGAGAAGGGGCATGGGTTCGTCGTTGTCCAGTCTCGCCGACGGAACGAACGGTTCGTCTGCGGCGACGGCGAGACCTAGCCTCGGCGATATACCGGAGAGCTGCGTAGCGTGCGTGTTCATGTACCTGACTCCACCGGAGATTTGCAATCTCGCTCGCCTGAATCGGGCGTTTCGCGGCGCTGCATCGTCGGATTCCGTGTGGGAGAAGAAGCTGCCGCCGAATTACCGGGATCTGCTGGATTTGTTGCCGCCGGAGAGGTACCAGAAACTCTCGAAGAAGGATATTTTCGCGCTCCTGTCTCGTCCGATACCGTTCGACGATGGGAATAAGGTTCGTCGACATAGAAGGGTTTTGCTGAGTCAATTTCAATGGATTGGACCAGGGAATTAGGGTTTTTCTCGTGGTCCTTCGTTATGGTGGTCTAAAATTTTCGATTCTTCTGTTTCAAGTTGTGGTTTCACTCGCAAGCTATCTAAGGATTTCTTCTGACGAATTTGGACCTCTCGATAACATGAACAATACAATCTCGCAGGAGCTGTGGATTGATAGAGTGACAGGACGGGTTTGTATGGCGATTTCTGCAAGAGGAATGGTTATAACGGGAATTGAAGACCGGAGATACTGGAATTGGATTCCGACAGAGGAATCTAGGTTTGTGATCAATCGTTTTCTATTCAGTCTTGGAAGATATTGCAAGAAAATATCTGTTATGTTACTGTTTGGCCATGTCAGTTTACTCGGAACTCTATGACATCTTCGAGAAAATACTTCGGCTCTTGGTGGTCGAATAAGAGTCTTTCATGTCTGCATATTACATCTGTTCCTTTGAACCCATTACCTTTGAGAGGTGAACAAGAACCCACTTCTATTTGGTGCCATGTTTCGAGCATCGTGATTGCTACTCGACTTTTGATACCTGGTAACTCTGGTTGTTTGCAATTACTTGGATCTGGTAACGAGATTTATAGTTAGATCCAGTTCAAGATAGATGAGAGATGATGAACCCTGTTTTATCACTCTGGATTGGAGAGGTGATTAGATCCAGTTCAAGATAGATGAGAGATGATAAATCCGTATTCGAATTATGAATTCTTTGGAGCTGAACAGAATAAGAAAACGAAATGCAGAAGCAGAAATACAGTTGCTCACCGCTTGAAATGATCTTCCCTCTGATTTGATAGATTAGGCACATCGTTCTTCACAATTCTCGTTTGGGTTTGCGGATGTTGAACAATAACACATCTGTTTGTTCTTCCCTTTTGGCAGGTTCCACGTTGTAGCTTACTTACAGCAGATATGGTGGTTCGAAGTGGATGGGTCGGTGAAATTCCATCTTCCTCCTGGTATATATTCTGTTTCGTTCAGAACCCATCTAGGAAGATTCGCTAAAAGGCTTGGACGACGTGTCTGCAACTTCGAGCACACTCATGGTTGGGATGTAAAGCCCGTGAGGTTTTCTCTATCGACTTCAGATGGGCAAGAGGCATCGTGTGAACATTACTTGGATGACATGGAGCAAGACGACATGTACGGGAACCATAAACGCGGGTGTTGGATAGAATACAGGATCGGGGAATTCGCAGTATCCGATTCAGAGCCAGCAATTGAAATCCAATGGTCCATGAAACAGATTGACTGTACGCATTCTAAAGGCGGGATTTGTGTTGATACCGTCTTCATAATCCCGATAGACGTGAAAGAACGCAAGAGGAAAGGGGCAGCGAAATAGCTAGAAGAATGTTCAATCGGGTTTTATCACACACTGCATATACTTTTGAAAGGTGATATTTTGGCTGTTTTTGCGGGTTTTTTCTGTCTTTTAACCGATACCCGAAACAGGTATATGCGATTCTCTCGACGGATAGTTGAATTTTCATGTGCATTCGAATCCAGTTTTGTTTTTCTTGGTTCATACTCTTTTCACAGATTAGGGCTGAGAGCGTTGTGTTTTTGGAGTTATGTTTCCTCTTGTAATGGCACATACAGAGTTTCTATGGCGTCTGCATGTGAGGTAAAAAATTTCTTTACCCCCTCGGGTCATTTAACATTTTAATGCATAATACACATATATCATATATGCGTGTACGTATGTATGCACTCTTGTGTTTCTGCATCGTGTATATATTCTTCAATGAAATGATCGTGAAGAATCTTAAGAGTAGGGCACCACGTTTTTATTATCCGAATCCTTCCCAAATTGTTCGAATACCCTAATTTCTGGAATAGGTCCGAGATGGGAGGTTGAAATTAATATATATATATATATATATATATTACTCAAGTGAGAACATTTTATGAAGCTGTTCTTTGAAATGCCCCTAGAGGGGTGTACTGTTATTTTTAGAATATCTGAATTCGAATCCGATGAGTTGTATATTTTAAAATCCAAATTTGAATATGAGTTTTCGGTCATCTGAATTATATTATCCGTCAAATAAGTTTTGTGTACTGTGATATCTAAATCCGATGGTTTTCAACCTATTTTAATTAAAAAATTATAAATTTATAGTTTACATACAAAAAATTTATAAAATTATTCAAAAATATTTATATTTAAAATAACTAAATCATAAAATAATAATTTTTATATAAACAAAAGTAAAAACAATTGGATATTAACAGAAATTTTTATAAATTTTTTAATGATTAAAAAATATAATGATTATTTTTCTTTTGTTAAGGTATCCACGATTAATTATTCCCCGAAAATACCATTCTGAACTCGAATTTTGAGTTTTAGATATATTAAAATTTGATATCTATCTTCCAATTTTTGAATACTCCCTTCGGATCAAGATGGTCATTTAGATTTTGGACATTTTTTTCAATCCCTAGCCTTGAGATTGGCATTTTGGATTTTGGTTCCATTAGTTTTGGTTTTTTTTTTTTCAATTTTAAAAATTTATTCTAAAATTGAAATGAATAAAAGAAAAGATTTTTATGATCGATCCAAATATAGTTAGGATTAATGCGCATTTTTTATTACTTAGAAAATCTATATCAATTTGATTTTTGACATTAGATATAATTAGATTCGCTTTCTATTTAGATTTAATTAGAATTTAATTTTTATTGATAAAATGGTTATTTTTTTTAAAAGAAATTCAATTTTTGTTTTGTAATTTTTATAACGAATTTGATTTGAATCAATTGTCATGAAATTGTTGTAATAAATCTCTCACCTCATTGTATTTGGACTAGTTTTCATTTCTTTTTTCTTTGGGGTAAATTAAATATTCCATAATCAAATATACAATATATAAATGATATGAATGGAGAGAGACTACCCATTACACAACGGTCCAAGATTAGATAGAACCTCACATTGATATTTGTTCAAACTAGGCCTTTGTAGACAAGGGGTCAGATCACCTTATGAGATATAAAATATGGTTTTAAATAGAATATAAAATATCTCAAGAAATGAATAAATTTAAAATTCTTTAGGGAACAAATATTTTTCTGAATCGAATTCGAAACGTTATCGAAGACCAAAATATGTACACTTAATTGTCAATAAGTAAATTAATTATGAAAACCTAATTCGAACATAAAATCAAATTAAACTGAATATAAATAAATAATTAAATGGGTATAGTTTTTTCATGAACGATCGAAACCCAATTGAAGCCGAAATCAAACCTAAAATATCCACCGCTACTCATAAAGATTCATAATCTAATTATAAAAAAAAAAATATGATCTATAAAAAGTGAGAGAGATTGCAAGTTTGAGCGATCATAGGAATAATGGCTGTGTTTTTTTTTTCTGCCATGACCAAAAAAAAAAGATGATTACTTTCTCTTAGCATAATTAATGAATGTTCTTTGAATAAGTTTAGTAGTTCATTAACAACTCTATTTCTCATATCCTATACTCTTTAGCTTCATACTTTTATTCGTATTTATCTTTTAAAAGCTTGACCCAAAAACAATAATATTTACCAATATATATAAGAAATATTAAAAAAATATCAAGAAAATCAACAAAGAACGAAATATAAAAAATCATAATTTGTCGTAAATAATTCGATAGTTGAACCGATATTAATTAGTATGGAAAGCACATATGTGATATCACAAGGATCCACCAATTTGGTTAATAACCAAATAGTCGAATTGAGTACATATATCTGTAAATAAACTAAATTCATGATAAAACTGTTGGGTGTGTTATTTTATGTATCTCATATTCATGCATGCATAGTTAACTTTCAATTATATATCAAGAATTTCGAGTTTAATAACTTTCAGAATATACAACTAAATCATGCCTATTATACATCAATAGAAAGATAATTTCGATATCTAGACAACAACGTCAAGAACATGCAATTCTGATAACGATACATAAAGTTGTGATCAAACCAATATCATTATATCAATATGATTTTTTTTTTAAAACGGAAAACCAAATCCAAACCCACGGCGAACCGTGTCTCCTTAAGAAAATTATTCCCCGCGTGATACCTACGGTTAATGGAATATATCTTTCCAGGATAGGACGGATGTACCTCACCGGAACAGTGGTACTACAAACTCCGACGTTTTGTCGAACTCAAAGCTCAGCTTGAATCACAAAGAGAAAATGATGTTTTTCTTTCTTTTGTATAAAGCTTTGTTTTGTGTTTTACTTGATCTTGTTGTGTAGAAAAATGAAAAGAAAGTCTCCTATTTATAGGATTGGAAAATTGTAAAACTTCCAAAAATCATAAATATATTTTTTTAAGTTTTTAAAAATAAAATATGGAGAATTATAATATACAAAAATATCTCCATTTATTTATTTAAAAAAAACTCCAATAAAAACTGAATGATTATAATTTTTTTTAAAATAAAAAAAATGTATTGAACAGAATAAAAAAATTTAATGAAAAACGAAAATTTCTTTTAAAAAGAAGTATTTTTATCATTAAAAACATATATAATTAAATTGGTCAATAGTGACATATATTTGTAAATAAACTAAATTCATGATAAAAATCGAATGATTATATTTTTTTTAATCGAAAAAACAAATCGAGCCAAAGTAAATGAAAAACAATTTTTTGTTAAAAATAAATATTTTATCATTAAAAAACGGAATGATTATAGTGTTTATAAAATTGAAATAATTGAATCCAAATATAAACTGAATCAAATCTAAACCAAAACCCGAAATGGTCGTAAAAAATCATTCAAGGTTAAAAAAAATGAGGACCAAAGCTAAATCGAAAAAAGCTGAAATGGATAGGGGAGGAGGTGGACTCTGTCATGGGCGAACCCTCTCGTTTAAAGAAAAGTTCATTAATTAGTTTTCCCTTCTTCTTTTTTTTTTTTTCTTACTTTAGAGTGAAAGTTAATGTTTTTACCCAACATCGCATTAATAAATTTAAATACCAAAAATATTGAACAGTCACCTATATACATATATATATATATATATATGCGTGTGTGTTGACCTAAGAGCTTTGACCATTAATTTGTTTTCGGCGGTATTAAATATTGCAACTCTAAACTCTGTACCGTTAGATCCATTTGTATGATATTGATAAGGTTCCAACTCTAAATTCTGTTCCCTCCATTTCTCAATATATTGTTTTAGAAACTTTTTTTGTTACTAAATACATGTCGTTTTATATTTTTTTTAGGCATTTTTTTAGTGAAATTTTCAATTTTACTCATTTAAAAACATCTCAATTCAATAGATCATTAATATGTAATTTAATAAGGATATATTTGATCTTTTTTAGATTTTTTTAAAAATTGTGATAAAATCTAAAACGACAAATATTCAAATCAAATATTGTGAAACGGAGGGATTACTATATTAGATTGATGTATATGATATTTTTATGATTCAAACTCAAAATTATGTAATATTAGATTGATGTATATGACATTTATAAGATTCAAACTTTAAATTTTACAATATTAGATTCATGAATATGATATTTTAAGATTTGAACTCAAAATATTTTATCTATTTATATGATATTTCTATGATATTTCTAACGTAACTTAAAACTCTCTCTTTCTCTCTCTCTCTCTCTCTCTATATATATATATATAGTATTTTTAGAATTCAAACTTTCTGAAATTGATATTGATACTTTAAGGATTTAATTTTTTTTTGTAATATTATATTGATATATAGAATGTTTTTGGAGTTCGAACTCTAAATTCTACAAATACTAAATTTTTTGTATTTGAATTCAAAATTCTACAAATGTCATTTGGGTAGAGACAATCATGGAGTCGATTCTTAAATTTACTTTTTTGAAGTCATTATCATAGTGGTTGAAAATTCAGCAAAATGTAATCTTTCTAGTTTATCAATGTGAATAAATGACGTTTACAGATATTTATATTGCCGAAACAGTGGGAAATAAAATTCAATAAGTTCACGTGTTTGATTTTGTCTAAGTGTTGATTTAATTTGTGTTTCCAAGTACTCAGTGTCGGATATAGAAAAATATTTACATAGTAAAAGACTAAAAAAATACTATATTTTAAAATGTGTAGTATTATAAACTAAAAAAAATATGAGATTTTTTTGGATAATTAACTTATATGAATGATATAATATGATTTAAGAATAGAAAATTACAAAAAAATTATAATTATTCAAAGAGAGGAATACTTGCAAAAGGATTTTGTCTAGTTATTTTGATTTAATTAAATGAGGTAAAAAACGTAATACCTTTAATTGGGTGTTATATAGATATGTATATATAACAATATTCCATCAAACTTTGATTTATTAATTGTTATTTGAACTTAAATAGAAACAAATAATTTAAATTTGTCTTCGTTCTGTATTTTTATATCATTTTTTTAATAAATTTGATACATTTTATTTTGTTAAAATATTTTACGTGGTTGTTCAAATGTTATAGATACATATTTTTGTGAAATTAATTTTGATAGCTCCTATAATATGGGCCATTAAATATGGTAAAGTCGAAATGGTCCAATATTAAAACCTATTCGAGTCTCAGCCTCACTTTTAATTTCAATAAGATGATATGTACAAATTGAGAACAGTTTCTGAATTGATATTTAATAGAATATAAAAAACAGTATAAACTTTACTGTGATTTTTATTTGGTAGAATATAAATAGAAATTCCTTTGATTTTAAAATGAATTTAATCATAATAAAAATTCCCAATTAAACAGTAATAATGGATATGTAATGCTGTCAAAAAGTGTTGTAAGTTTTCCGTCATCCAAAGTTATTTGAATACGTTTTGGATTTGTTACAAAAACATCATATTTTCAGATTCATGTTCATCGTTCGCAAAGAACGTACAACTCTTACAAAAAAAATGTTATATATGTATATGATCTAATTATCCCTAGGGATGGACCAAAATATTTAATTATATGTAACAGTTTGGGTCCAAAACGTTGTTATATATTGATACTGTTTCTTGATCGTACAAAAACTTTGTCAGCAATATATATATGTATGTATATATATGTATAGTGTAAGCTATGTGTCATGTAAGACTGCAAGTTAATTAAGTTTCAGACAGTGATAGAATGAGGACCAATCTTCTAGCTGTTCCTTTTCCTTATTGCTGTTGTCTAAACCGACATATCAGTTTTCTCTTTCGTTCGTATATATATATATATATATATTTGTGTGTGTGTGTGTGTAAGTGGAAAGTGCAGTTTAAACGAATTTGAATTAAATATACAAAATAATTGAAATAAATGGTCAGGATATCAGATAACCAAAAAAAAAAAGCCTCGGGTTTTCTTATGTCCGAATCCTAATTTTGAAAAGAAAAATGAAAGTATCTGTGTAATTTTTAGTAAAGAAAAGAAGTATTTTGTAATTTTGAAAAAAAAATTAAGGTTAGCTTTGTAATTTTTAAAATGAACTAAAGATATTTTTATAATTGGAACAAACCCAAAAAAAAATCCTAAACTTTACCACTTACTAAAATTAAATCTCATACTTAAAATTCTTTATCTAAATTCCTCAACTATAAAAACTAAGTTAAAAAAGACATAAACAGGAAAAACAACAACAAACGGTTATTATAACCACATCATCATGCTTAACATTTTCTATTTATATTATATATTATATGTTTTTAATTACAACTACACAACCTCTTCTTCTACCACAAATTCAAGGAAATTATATTAAGTAAGTAATTAAAATTTTCTTGCTACATATCAATGTTGTTTTTGTGATTCAACCTACATTTTAGTTATGTGAGTTAACAATTGAAAGTTATGGATATTTTCATTGTTTTTTATCACCCAATTGAATTATGTTAGAATTATGCACACAAAATATTGATTATATAAAACAAACAATTAAAGATTACCAATATAAAGAAAATACAAACCTATAAAATTATATAAAAACATAATTAATTAGGGTTAAAAATTACCCAAAAATCCAAAATATGATAAGAAAAAGGGAATATTATAGTAAAAAAATATAAACGGTATTTTTATAATAGTATAAATTATCTACGGATGTCATCAAGTAGTGAAATCCGAAACTTGAATTTGAACTTCGGATAAATTCGATTTATAGATATAAACTTGAATTTGAGTTACTCGGGTACACAAAACTTGTTTAATTTTGCTTAGAACCCAATTTCTCGAACGTACAGACAAAGCCTCATGGATTAGTTTCTACTGTGGTCCATATATATACATACATACGCATATACATACGCATATACACACCACATGATATATAAAAAAACCCATTGATATGTTGTGTTTGTTCGGTCAACTGAAACTGAATCTTTGTTTGCAGACAAAAGAAGAAAGAAGAGAGAGGACAGAGAAGGAAGAAACATGGAATGGAGTAACCACTTCAGCAGCTTTGTCTCATCTTCCTCGCTTGATCCCTTTCTCTATCCTTTTAACCTTGATCATTTTCAAGGTACAGTATATATACATATATGTATTTGCTTATAGACGATATATATCACATTATCTAAACTTAGATTATGACCATCAAGAGACGGACCGAAATATAGCTTTAATTTAGTACGTGGATTTATGATGTTGAAAATGGTTGGTTGCATGGACGTAAGGCATTCGGATTCATCATATATATTCCCTTCAAATACCTCAATTTCTTACCATATAATCCTCGAATAATAACAATAATTAATAGTAATACGACCCAACCTGCATTTTATCTCGTTGTTCATACATATATCCAAGTTCCAACGCTCCTAGTTTTGGATTTCAAGAACAGACCAACTAAAACATGAGATGGCGATGGCGATGGCAATGGAAATGGCGGAAACACAAGAAGCTTCACTCCATCTTCCTCTGGCGAGCGACGACAAGTTCATCTCCTGCGACAATGGAAGCAACAGCAACAGTAACAGCGAAGACAAGAAGAACAAGAAGAAGAAGAAGAAGATGACGAGAGAGCAACTGAGAATGCTGGAGAGAAGTTTCGAGGAGGAGATAAAGCTAGACCCCGACAGGAAAATGAAGCTTTCGAGGGAATTAGGGTTGCAGCCGAGGCAGGTTGCGGTCTGGTTTCAGAACAAGAGAGCGAGGTGGAGGAACAAACAACTCGAACATCTCTACGAAACCCTTCTCCATGACTTCCATGTCGTGTCCAGAGAGAAGGAGATGCTTCAGGACGAGGTGAGTTCATGTTTTTTTCTCTTTTCCAAAAAATACCCTTTCTGAATCTTTTCCTCCATGGATGGTTTCGGATTTCGGTTCGGTATTTTATGGGTTTGGTTTGTTTATCGGTTTGTCGGTTTTTTTCGGTTCGATTTTGGTATGGTTTGGTTTGGGATATCAAATAAAAACCAAAACTCGATTATTGTTCGATTTCTGGTACAGGTGTATCGGGTTGGATTGGTTCTATTATAATTTTTTTTCTTCTTCTATTAATCTTTCAACAATACATACGGTTTCTGGTTGGATCGGTTCGGATTTGCCTCCCTCAACCATACACACATAAATTACGAATCAGAAATTTTATTTCCCTTTTAACTCTTCTTTTTCTTATATAATAAATTTTTTTTTTAAAAAAAATACCACTTCATTTTTCTCAAACCAAAACCAAAACCGAACCGATCAGTTCTCTTTATTTTATACCATTATCTTTTAACGAATAAAAATAGAACCAAACCGAAATCTATTCGGTATGATTCAAGTCTAAATTTTCGAACCGAAATGCCCAGATCAGATCTAAGCCTTTTTTTTGGGGGGGACTAATTTTGTTTTTTTCGGGTTTTGTTTGATAGGTTGTAAAACTGAGATCAATACTGAGGCAGGGAGGTGTAAGCAGCAAACAAATGTGGAATGCCGCCAATGGAGGAGAAGCCATTCAGATCGAATATAGCAACTTCGGCATCACGACAGCTTCCCCGACATGGCCTCTCCCCTCTTCGCAGAACCTTTAAACCTAAGCTGTTCTTCGTGGAAACTACCCGTTTAGGATTTGTACTAATGATTGGGCTTAATTCCACTGTCCAATGCCTCTGGTCTGTATACATATTTGACGGATGCTAAGTTACGCCCAAAAGTGATAAAATGCATGCATTGCAATCCGATTTTCCGATCATCTGACCTGGTTCACAGTCGGGTATCAAAAACTCGGGTACCCAAAAGGTCAGATATACACTGGAAAACTCGGATACCTGATCACATGTATTGATGGCATAACCGAATGAATCCTTACCAAACCGGCCTGATGAGGTGTTAATCGGCACACCTGTCTGAAACATTTGGTGGTACTCGGTATTCATACCAATCTTGATCCAAATTTCTGTTAACCAAACCGGTTAACTGGATCCAAGACCCCTACTTATGAGAAAGGGTGAGAAGTAGCAACACAAAGTTCATAAGCTGCAAAATTCTAAGGGACAATGCAAGATATGAAGTGAAGAGAAAACAAAATGGGAAAACACAACAAAGACAGTGTATTCTTGCAAAACATTCAGAAATAGACAATAACTATCACAAGTTTCCAGACTACCGAAAGAGTAGGATGGGAATAGGGTCTTCAGCGTTTGCCACCGCCTCCTCCTAACTTAGGACCCTTGCTTGCACCGCCTTTCGGGAGATTGCCCTTCCCCTGAGACTTCTGGTGCTTGGCCATGACCTCGGCTTTCTTTGCCTTCTTCTCGTCCTTTGTCTTCTTGATTCTCTCCTTGATCTCACTGAAGCATTACCACATTCATTGGGATAAATTTCGGTCAGAGATGGGTATTTTCTGATAGACTCATCATCGTGGATGGTTTGGAAGGAAACTAACCGAAGAGCGGCTTCTCTTGCAGCATCACGGACCTCGGGCTTCTCCGTTCTTTTCTTCTGAATGACTTCCAAGGTCGCACCAACAATGGACCTCGAGTACGGCTTCTTGGTTGCCCGTCTCCTCTTCTTCACAGCCTCTTGGGCTATGTCCTACGTAATTGTAGAGGTAACAAATTCAGAATTTAGGGTTATCATCATTGACTCAAAGCACAAAGAGATCACAAAACTGAAAACGTTAATCTCCAAGGATGTGAAACAAGACTTGTAAAATCACAACACAAATTTGGAATGGATCTTTAAAGGGTTCACCTTTTTGTGCTGCTTCCTGTACATGGCAGTCCATGTCAGCTTGGATGGCTTCAACCGGTTGTGAAAGTAGCGTTTGCACTTGGAGTTGGCGAACAAAAACACCTGAATACATCAAAGAAATGACAACTTCAGTAGAGATACATGGAAACATGACAAATGAACAATAAAGGACGAAACCCCCGACCAGATACAACAATCTAACCAATATCCAAACATAGCCCAGTTAATGAATTACCTGAGAGTCAGATCTGATAAATCTGATTCCCCTTCCTGGGTAAATCTTGGCACCACTGAAACGGCAAAGCTCTGTCCTACACGATGAAAACAACACAGAAACTCAAAATCAATCTAAATTACAATGGAGCAAAATAGGAACACACAGAGAAACAGGCAATTAATCAAGAGTCAAATTAAGATGTAAAACACCAATGTCTTTGTAATGTCCTTAGGTTACATGGCGAACACTTTGAAAGAAAAAAAGCGTCCACCTCGAAAAGCCCGGGAAGACCAAAAGATGATCCATCAATTTATGCCTCCGCAGAAGGTTTATATGAAGCTCATAGAAACCATATTGGCTATCAGAGGAGGCAGAAAATGCAAAATGTATCCAATAATCAACTAATCATCCAATTCTTGAGAAAACCCACAACGTAAATTCAGTGATCAGAGTCGATGATTTTACCCAAACAATCACAAAAAAACTTTTAGAGCACCTCCTGTGAAGGAAAAGGCAAAAAAGGCTAACAAGACATCATAACAGAAGAAAGGATGCTAAACAAGATCTGGTTCTGCTCGGACAAAATCATATTCTCCCATAAAAATCATCGATTCGCCCAGTCTAAAACCATGAAGTCGAAAACGAAAACGAAAACGAAAACGAGTGGGGAGTCATTAATACGAAAATCAACAAAAAAAAAAAAATCTCCATTTCGATAAAGTATGATACTGTCGGCGGCAAAACTGTGGACTACGGCATGGATCGATACATAAATTAGCTGATAAACAGGAAAAGAGAATGAGAAAGGGAAGAGATTTGAACACTTACTTGAGAACCATGGCTACTGTTGCTTCCCCTGCTCCACGCCTGAAACCCTAGACTTGAAAACCCTAGACGAAGCGATAGTTTATATAAGAAACAAAACACGGAATCCCCATTTGGGCCATTGAAGTCGTCAGCCCATATGCTTTAGACCCATTTTTGAAGGCTCAATTGACTCGGGCTGAGAGTTTGGGTTGGGAAAAATCGAACCGGGTTTATTATTCTGTGAACCGGGTATATTCAGTACCACTTCCAAAATACCTAATGTAAACCGGTTCGATTCAGGAAAAAAATTAAAAAATTGCAACACTAAATAAGAACCAAAATATTAAAATAAAAAAGATTTTATATTTCAGATCACTAAATAATCTTTTCCATTAAAAAAATAGATATGGGACATATAATTTGTCAATAATATAATGGAGGATATCAAATTGAAGTTGGAATATTCGTCTTAATAGATTTTTATCATTTGATTAAATCAGGATTTCATGGACCAAATGTGAGTTCGGCTTAAATATTTTAAATTTTTAATCGTTCCGATTTCGATTTTATTGATGATTTAATTGGGCCGCACATAATATTTACAAGGCATAGAATACTTCTCTCTTTTATCCTTTCAAAATGATGACATCAGCATCGCCCTCAATAATTTCCTTCCACGGCTGGTATAACCCGACCTGATACGATGTCGTTTTGTGAAGCTTAGGAAGAAGAAGAAGTTGAGAGCTCTGCACAAGTTTCTAGAGGAGCGAGAAGAGATTGGAGAGATTTCTTCAATCGTGGCTGGAGATTGCGTGATCGCTGCCATCGGAGAGACTTTTTCTCTGTTTGGTTTTGGATCTGTTATCGATGGCGGAGAAGTGGAGCAGCGACGGCGGAGATTTCACGTCGGAGGACGAGGGGACGGAGGATTACCGCCGTGGAGGATACCACGCCGTTCGGATCGGAGACTCCTTCAAGAACGGACGCTACGTTGTTCAGAGCAAGCTCGGCTGGGGCCATTTCTCCACTGTCTGGCTCGCTTGGGACACTCAATCCTCTGTGCGTCTCTCTCTCTCTCTCTCTCTCTCTCTCTCTCTCTCTCTCGTTGTGCTGATTTTAGATGGATTGAATCGGATTCGCTTTAGTGTAGTCCTTGTTTTAGGATGAGAGGTAGTTTGATTTTGATGTTTCTTCTGCTGCAACATTGGTCAATTAGGTTTGGATAAGCTGGATCTTTTTTTTGTTGCTGTATGAGAAAAGTAGAACCCTTCATGTTTCTCGAGTTGTTCTTATTCATTGAATGAACGAAGGGGGATTGTGATCAAATTTCCACCATTGATGTCTTCAAGTAGCTTGAAAGAGTTTATCTAGGAGGGGTCAAGGGTCACTTGTTTGATACAAACGAGCCTTGTATTTTCCTTGCATGCTTTCTTATGTTACTGAATCTTTGTGGAACGACAGAGATATGTGGCGTTGAAGGTTCAAAAGAGTGCTCAGCACTATACTGAAGCCGCCATGGATGAGATAACCATATTGCAACAGATTGCAGATGGAGACCCTGATGATAAAAAATGTGTGGTGAAGCTTTTAGATCATTTCAAACATTCTGGTCCCAATGGGCAGCATGTTTGTATGGTTTTTGAGTACTTGGGCGATAATCTGCTGACTCTCATAAAGTACTCTGGTTACCGTGGTTTGCCCATTCCAATGGTTAAGGAAATATGTTATCACATATTGGTCGGGTTGGACTATTTGCATCAGAAGCTATCCATTATCCATACCGACTTGAAGCCAGAGAATATCTTGTTGTTGTCAATGATTGATCCGGCAAAGGACCCGAGAAAGTCAGGAGTTCCTTTGATTCTCCCAAGTGACGATGACAAGACAATAGATGCCAAGTTGTCTAACGGAGATTTCATGAAGAATCAGAAGAAAGATATTCGTAGAAAGGCGAAGTTAGCAGCTGAGGAGGATCTTACTGAACCAGAAAAAGATCCCGAAGCATCTGGTGCTACAAGATTATCCATTGATGGAAAACGGGATTCTGCTTCAAAATCAATTGAAGATCATCCTTCTACTTCTACTTCTACTTCAAATGGGTTGTCAAAAGCGGATGGAACAAAGGATAGCGAGAAAGGAAATCAGGGTGGCGGTAAGAGAGGAACCCGAGCTGCTAGAAAGCAGCTTCTGACATCTGTTGACCTCAAGTGTAAACTGGTGGACTTTGGTAATGCATGTTGGACTTACAAACAGTTTACAAGTGACATTCAGACAAGACAGTATCGGTGTCCAGAAGTAATCCTTGGATCTAAGTACTCTACATCGGCAGATCTTTGGTCATTTGCTTGCATATGTTTTGAACTTGCCACCGGTGATGTTCTCTTTGATCCCCATAGCGGCGACAATTATGACCGAGATGAGGTAGGCTAGCTGCCAGATCGAAGCTACTTATTGATTCTTTGCCATATCTGTTTCGGGGTTTGGGTACTTCAAGAAACGACTTTATGTAGATAACTAATTACCCGTTTTTTCCGTGACAGGATCACTTGGCTCTGATGATGGAACTGCTTGGCATGATGCCTCGCAAGGTAAGAACACTCATTGATAGCTACTTTCTGAGTAAAAGCATTGAATTTGTTTACAAAGATTCACGCCCGTCTTTTGGTTTCCAGGTAGCATTAGGCGGGCGATACTCGAGAGATTTCTTCAACAGGCACGGTGATCTGAGACATATCCGGAGATTGCGTTTCTGGCCACTGAACAAGGTTCTGATGGAGAAGTATGAATTCAATGAGCAAGATGCGAATGACATGGCCGAATTTCTCGTTCCTATTCTCGATTTCGTCCCAGAGAAGAGACCGACTGCTTCCCATTGTCTTCTCCACCCATGGATCAACCCCGGTCCTCATCTTCTGGAACCATCTGTACCGCCTCGAGACCAGAAAGCCGAGGCCATCAACGACGAGGAAGAAGATGTAGAAGTGAGAATGGGGAACGTTTCCATATCCACAGATCCGAAACCGAGCTAACAAATGCAGGTATGAGCATCTCTTTCGAGTAGGGTTTTATCCGAGATTTGCCGGAAATTCGATCTCTGAGTTCGGGTTCTGTGATTGGACGAGGAGAGATCGTTATTTCGATCGTCTCTTCGCCCGTGAGAGCTTGATACAAAGTGATTTTCTCGTCTTCTCGATCTTGTTTGTGTACCAAGTGAATCCGAAAACGATGCATACATGTATTCATGTGTAATATACGATGGTAAAACCACTGATTCTATGTTTCATGCTGCTCTATTTCCGTTTAATATTGTCTCACGCGACTAGCCAGCTTCAAAATGCGAGGACTTGGATGATCGTTTGTGATTGAGTTACCGTTACATATCATTACGTTTCCAATACAAATTTTTGTTAATTCTAGCGTTTGTTGTTAACACTGCTTGTCTAAAAATTTTATAGCAAAACGGCTGTAAAATCACGTATAAATGTCTCATATATATATGTATATATAACTCAACTTTTTAAAAATGTGTGAAATAAGTACTTGAATTTTTAATATAATATAACTATTGTCATAAATGCCAATATGTTCTAAACGGGTCTTTATCAAAAATGTCCTCTTAAGGGGCATTATCAAAAATACCCTTAATTTGCTATTTCTATTTCAAGACCTACCCTTGTGACCATGTGACCAATGTGACCGAAATATAGTGTGGTCACATATTGATCTCATTGTTCATAACGTTAAATTTATGATGTTTTAATCAAATGATTAGTAAGATATACAAGGTATGAACATAATGAATTAGTGTGATCACCATAAATTTAACGTTATAATCGATAAAAATCAAAATGTGACCATACTATATTTCGGTCACATGTGACCAGGGTAGGTCTTTAAGTAGAAGTAGCATTTTAAGGGTATTTTTGATATAATACCCCTTAAAATGCTACTTATACTTCATAGACTACCCTTCCTCCAGAAAAAAAAATAACCTCTTCACATATACCCTCCCCCACATGTACAATATTCATTATACCCTTATATTATAAAGGGTAAAACCCCTAAAAAACCTCCAACTTGCAAAAATATATACAAATAAACCTTCAACTTGAAATACTGTCATTCAATCTCCGAACTTGTAACTTGTCACTGAATGAAACCTCGAACTTGTAAATTATTGCTCTAATAAACCTTTGATCGGTTTGACCACAATTTCAGACGATCGGAAATCCACGTATTAACGGATTGCTGATGTCACCTTATACACGTTATCAATTTTAATTTAAAAATTGACATCAGCAATCCGTCAATACGTGGATTTTGGATCGTTTGAAATTGTGGTCAAAGCGGTCAAAGATTTATTAGAGCAATAATTTGCAAGTTCGAGGTTTTATTCAGTGACAAGTTACAAGTTCGGGGATTGAATGACAGTTTTTCAAGTTGAAGGTTTATTTGTATATATTTTTGCAAGTTGGAGGTTTTTTAGGGATTTTACCCTATTATAAAACAAATAAAATTAAAAAAATAAATAATAATAATTTCTTTCCAAAAAGTATTGATTTCTCTCTCCTCCTCATTATAACTTATCTTTTCTCTCCTCCCATATATTTCACTCTCTCTCTCCTCCACCATTTACAGTCTCTCTCTCCTCCGTTTGCTCTCTCTCTTTCGATTTGTTCTCTCTCTCCTTCGATTTTGCTCTCGTTCTCGTCCGATTTTCAGTCTCTCTGTGTCGCCTGCCGATTTACTCTCTCTCTCCTTCGATTAGCTCTATATCTCTTCCGA